TCAGTATAGTCGAGGCGCGCAGACCACCATGGTACGTGAGTAGCATAGCCGCCATCCGAAGCACCGATGACGAAAGGCTCACCAGCAGGTAGATAAAAAGCCATGCATACTGGAACGACTCGCTATCATGCGACTTATCTGAGCCCACCCTGAGCGCCAGATAGTAGTCCTTATACGCGCTCAACAGCTGCACAGCAACAATCAAAACCGCGCAAAAGACGACATGCATCCACCCACCGCTTGCCGAAATATCCGGCCCAGACGCTGGCCTTAATCGTGCCACTCATACGCACTTCTTCTTTGATGAGCTGACCAGTTGGCGGGCCTCCTGCATGCCAGTTTGGCTGCCAGCAGCTGCTGGCGTATCTGCAGCTACTTTTGCGCTCATCATTGTACTCATCCTCGGCATCGGGTCCTCCAACGCCTGCCTCTGCACGGCTGGCGCCTGCTCTCCCTGGCTTTCGCCGTCACTAGCAGCTGCGACATCGTCAAACGCACACCAGAGACCTCCTGTGGCGTTCCCTTTGCGACTATCTCGCCACTGCGCATCATCACGACGTACTGGCAGTGCGGCAGGCACATAGCCATATGATGCGTTACCAGAATGCGCGTTCTACCATGCATCAGCGGGCTTTGGCTCAGCAAGCAAGTGTGCAAAATATGCTTGGCTGTATGCGAGTCCACAGCCGACAGGCAGTCGTCTATCAGCAGAATCCTCCGCGAAGAGTATATGGCCCGAGCCAGTGCTACACGCTGCTTCTGACCACCCGATAGTGTGATCCCACGCTCGCCAACTTCCGATTGATCCCCAGCAACGAAGGTGCGCAGATCAGGCTTCAGTCCACACATGCGTAGAACCTCCTCATAGCGGTCTCGAATGTACAGCTCGCCAAATAACACGTTGTCACGGATGGTTGCATTTCGCAGCCAGGGCTCCTGCGACACATACGCAATGTCAGACATACGCCGTTTGCTGACATAGGAATAGTATATTACCACTGACAACAGTCATATCGCCGACAAGTGCTGACAACAGTGACGACTTTCCGCTACCAGTTGGCCCTCCGATAATCGTTAAACCGCCCTGAGGGAAGCGCACAGTGAGATTGCGCAGCGCAAATGCCTGGCTATCCTCAGGCTGTCTGCCATGCAGCAGAAGTGGAGTCCCTTCCTCAGCAGCCGCACTGTCATCGGCTCGCTTCCAAACAAGCTGGGCTTGGCTAAATCCAACGTCATGTCCAGCTGCTTCGACTCTCTCGCCAGCAGGCTGCACATCATCCTCATGCAAGTACTCGTCGATGCGCTTGAGCGAAACGTAGATAGAGATCGCGTGTGAGACGCCACCCGGCATCCAGAAAATCGCCCGCTGCAAAACCCGAAACACAGCAATGGCTGTAAACGTCGTCTCGCCATCCAGCCGACCGTTGAAGCTGTATACGAATAGCACAACAAAAATGATCACCGGCATCATCCCGACTGTCCACAGGTTTAGCAGCGACCAGACCTTCGATCTCTGCCACAGCGCCTCCAGCTGCACCGCACGTTTAATGCCGACAACTTGGATAAACTTTGAGCACCACCCAAACAGCTTGACAGAGATGATCCGTGGATGACCTCGCTGATTGTCTCTAGGCGTTGGTCGTTAAAACGCCCGATCTGTGCCTCGATTCGTTTAGCTCGAACGATCAGCCTCTGCCCAACGGCCATGACGCCAACTATCATCGCAGTTCCGAAGAGCCCAGCTATACCAAGCAGCTGGTACATGTAGAAGCATCCGATGATAAGCTGGCAGGGGCTAAACAGGACCGATCCAAACATCTCCGCAGTTTTGTTAACACGGCTGACGTCAGCAGTCAGAATGTTGTAGACCCGTCCATCTGAAGAGTCCCTGCTGCTGTCATCCTTGGATTTGGACTCGTGTGCTCGCCGGCGCAATGTTTTCTGGGTCAGACTCGCCACCAGAACATTGCGAATTTCCATGCTTATTCCGCGCGACTGCCACTGTTGCTGCTGCTCAACCACAGTTCCCACTACACTAGCTGCCAGCATCATAGCCGCCAAAAAGTACCCGAACCGCAGTCCAAGCGACGAATCCTCCAAGTACTCGTCCAATGAAACGCAGAACGCGCTGCATCAGATACGGCTGGATGTAGTCCGAGAAGGTGTTGTAAAAAGTGTAGACGATCTGGATTGCAAGATCGACCTTGAACACAGAGAACAGCTGCCTTACCAATGGCTGTCCAGGCTTGGCACCCATTGAGAAGCGGGCGTACGCTGAGCTGACCTGGCAGTTATCTGGCGGCACACGCAGATCGCTGCGTGATACCTGGTGCTCTCGACGACAATCAGAGAGGATAGGACTGACCCAGTTGAACAGCAGAACCGAGAGCAGAGGCTGGCTCAGCTCATACGGCTCAAGCTTGGCATCTGGGACCGCAGTGAGCCTCTTTGGCTGCAGTCGGCAACCAACCTGCAATTTGGGAAACGCGGCCAGCAACATAATCACACTGCGGTAGCGGGTGTACAACCAGCAGCAGCAGCAGCAGTACACAGTTTACCAGCATCTTTACATGTACCGCTGCGGCCACTGAGCTCATATCCTCGCCCCACATTGGCGTGTGCCACTGGCTGCGGACAAAGAAGGAGAAATACTCCTCCAGCGCCGAGCACGCAAGCTGAACGAGGACAAATCCAAACAGCACACCGCTGAACAGCCCACGGAATGCAAACCGGTCGCTCTTAGTATACCTGGCAGCCTGCATGGTGGCTAGTAGGCTGACGATCAGCCATTCGGTTGCCAGCACGAGCGACGCAGGCTCTGTAGCCCGGGCCGTCTGAACAGCAGTTTGGACGATCATCAGCAATACAGCTGCCGGTCCGACCCAGACCCTATTGTCGGGAACGCGTACACCCGCCTTGAGCAGTGGCCTGGCTGACGAAGTAAGGGTACCAGGCCTTCCAAAGTCACCGATCCACCAGCAGATCCCCAGAAACACCGTTGGGATCGCGCCCTCAAAGATCAGTCTGCGTGCGCATGCGTTGCGCTCCAAGTCCCACTGCCATGGCCAGGGCGAGCCGATACTGCAAGCTCCGAGTCTTTCCATGCGTAGGCCTTCTGCTTGGTAGCAGGTAATAGCAAGGGAGCAAAGAAAAGTGAAGAAGAAAAGTAAAGAAGAAAAGGAGCTAGCGAACAGCTCGTGCTGCGGCCCGTGGTTAGTAGCGCGGTGGTGAAAAACTCGTACACAGATCGTCCCCACAGGCCCCACGGCTGGGCCGATTGTTTGCTGCCAAGCTCTGCATAGCCTCAAGCGGTGATCGGGTCTAGGTTGCCTAATTGGCCAGCAGGACGGCATTTGGCATCAATAAATACTGTCCGCTTGCCCTCGTCTCGTCGGAACATAGAGCTTTTCAACCCTCAGCATGCTTTTCTATGCACCCTTCCTCGCCTTCTTTGTCGTTTTCCATTGCGGGCTAGCGGCAAGAGTCCAGGGAAATCTGGATATCTACGCCTCTAAGCGGCTGATACAGACAGGGCCGAGCGACAAGAAGTGGCTAACCAAGAACGATATATTCAATCTGAGCCGATCCGGTACAAAATTCCGCGACATTACTGACGTCGACAGCAGCCTTCTCAGTCTCCGACAGAAGCAGCTGCACATTCCCGGCCAGCCGTCATTACAGCAAGCCATCAAGCCGCTATTTACCAACATTTCTGATGCACTCCCCCGTCGTGTCCTTGAAGGAATGGCAAAGTTCCACAACCGGTTTTTCAACTCGCGCAATGGCCGTGAGTCGTCACTCTGGCTGCAGCAACAAATCACCAGTGTGGTTGCTGGTATTGGCGGTGTGGAGGTTGTGCCTTTCGTTCATTCGTTTCCGCAGAATAGCATTATCGCCAAAATCCCGGGACGCAGCGACGAGACTGTCATTTTGTCTGCTCACCTTGACAGCATCAACAAGTTCGACCCAGAGCATGGCAGCGCACCAGGTATCGACGATGACGGCACAGGTGTTGTTGTGCTCATGGAAGTTATGCGGATTCTGGCTAGCAGTCAGCTGAAACTGAATCGGACTATCGAGTTCCATTTCTACGCAGGGGAAGAGGTCGGGTTGCTGGGCTCGGCTGATATTGCGCACATGTATGCAAAAGCGATGCGGCCAGTAGTAGTTGATCTCCAGCTTGACATGACCGGATTCCCAACTAGCCCGCCTGTGGTTGGCATCTTGACGGACAACACAGATCCTGGTTCGACCTCGCTGCTGCGCCAGATTGTGTCCGAGTACACCGACCTGAAGACCCAGGATTTTTCATGCGGATATGCGTGCTCCGACCATGCAAGCTGGTTTGAGGCCGGCTATCGTGCTGTGCTGCCTGGTGAAAGCCCGCTTGTCACTGGGAATCCCCACATGCACACGCCATCAGACGATATCAGCACTGTTAGCTTCCAGCATTTGCTACACTATGTAAACATTGCCCTGGCATTTGCAGTAGAGGTTGCTGGAGTTGCTGGTGCTTGAAAAGTACAATAAACTTACAATTTAACACTCAGCATTCTGTCTTTCTGGGGCGCGAACAAGGTGAGCTGACAATAGCGCTACAATAACCAAGACGCTAAACAAGAACATACGGCATCATGTTACTGACAGATAAAGTGCAAACGCATACCGAGTAGCACAATTGCCTTCAAATGGCCCACCGCTGGATACCCTAAGCAGCAATCAATAACCCCTTAGCAGCTCGTATGCCACATTGGTGTGGTTGGGTTCCTGACTGGCGACAGTGACAATACTAAAGATCAGCGAAGTTAAAACAAGGGTGCGAAGCTGCTTGTCCATGCTCGGCCTAATCTCCAGCTTTTCAGGATGGAACTTCCTGATATTGAGTGTCGCAACAACAGACCCATTGCTATCTCGCAGCTCCCACCGATTGCCTTTGATTGGAGTGTTCCACTTGTAGTCAGTACCGCTCGCGTCCGTAAACTTCCATCCCAGCTGCATATCTCGCTGCTCTATTTTGTAAGGAACACCCCGAGTTATGGCGCTGGCACTTCCCATTGAGACCTTGTCGATTAGCGCCTTAGCTACAGTGGCACCGCTTGTCGGTATCACTCCAGCAACAACAGTAGTATCGTCATTCACATCCACCGTCAGGAGGGTTACGTGAGGAAACCGAGCTACGATGCGATAGGCCTGCATGCCAGACCTTGCGGCGGCTTGTCTGGTGTCGAACCTGCCATTGTAGAGCACAATGTTCTTGTGGTATTCCAGGTTGCGCAGGGAGGAAGAGGTATACGTTTCAAGAGACATAAGGAATCGCTGTTCTTTGGGCGAGCCGAGACTATCTGCTGTAAACTGCGGTGCATAGGCTCTTTGGACCAGCATTAGCATGTACAATATCCTGGCTAGCAGCATACACAGCTGGAAATGTTCACGGAGACAGAGGAATGAATTGATACAGGTGAATAAAAAAAACAATAAAGCCATCTCTAGCCCTTTTAGACGCGCTTGGACAAGACCATCCTGCAGTCGCGGTCTGGGTAAATCGGGGTATTAACAAAGAACGACTTTGAGTCCATCTTCTTCGGACACCCATGCTCGTCCACGATTTCCGGGCCCAGGTACGTCAGATCATCGGGCATCCGGAGCTCGTAGTCCTTCAGCATATTTGCCATAATTGTGAACAGCTCGACCCACGACAGGTTGCGGCCTGGACAGGTGCGCGCACCACCACCAAAGGCATAGAAGTTGCGCTTCGACTCGTCGTTGTCCAGGAAGCGTTCTGGAACAAACCGGAATGGATCAGCCCATGTCTTTCTGTTGGTGTGTACGCCGCGGAAGTTCAGGTAGACCTCGGTGCCTGCGGGCAGAAAGTGGCCCTGAATGGTACAGCCGCCTGGGGCACTACGCGCGGCGCCTGCCCGCCAGCAATCGGACACAGGCGCATGGTCTCGAAGATGCAGGCTTCCAGGTACGGCAGATGGGCCTTGGCCTCATGGTACGTGATCAGGTGGTCGGGAGCGAATTTTTCGCGCACCTCGTTGCAGACGCGCACATAGACAGCCGGATACAGCATAAATAGATGTGTGGTCCACAGCAGCGTATTTGAGGTGGTGTCGGCGCCCGCCGCCATCATCACCATGGACTCGGAGACAATCTGGGTCTCGTCCATGCGCACCTTGGACTCGGGGTCTTCAGCATCCAGGAACGCCCTGCAAAAGATCCGCCGGCTTGTCACCGCCCTCAGCCAGGTATGCGCGCCGCTTCGCAATGGCCGCCCGACAGAACCGCTCGTACTTGCGGAACGGGCGCTCCAGCGGCGCCAGGAGCTTCGAGAACGGGTAGTATCTGGTGATCGGGATCATCGAGCGCGCTGCCTGGAACTTGATGGAGCATAGCAGCTGCTGCGCCAGCGTGTTGTCGCGGTTTTTGACGCAATTGAAATCCTGGCCGTACACCAGTCCGCCAATAGTATCCATGGTGGCTAGAATGTAGTCTCTGCTGTAGTTAATCTCGATCTCGCCGGTCGGACTGCGCGCGAGCTGCGCGTCCCACGCGTTCTTGAGCGACTTTATGCCGCAGCGCAGAATCGTCGGCTCCATTTTCACCAGATATCCGTAGGCAAAGTACGGGCCCAGCTGGCGCTTGCGCACGCTGACGAATTTCGGGTCGCGCCCCGACAGTGTGTTCTGGATGTCAAACAAATCGATGCCGCTGTAGTAGTCGGACTTTAGGAACTTTAGCGAGCCCAGCACCATTTTCCAGTCGGATGGGTTGGAAATCGACACCGCGTTTGGCTTGTATATGTAGATGTCGCCGTATTTGATCGAGTCGCGCTCCCCGCACTTTATCGCGTTGCCTGTGGCGCTGATCACTTCGGCCCGCCGGTTGGTCAGCCGCGCAGTCAGGGGCCCAGGGATATTGCGGAGGGGCGAGAGAAAACAGCGCGTAGAAGAGCTTGTAGCCGAGTGTGGCCACGATGACGGAGATGGTCAGCCTTACTGCGCTCATGTCGCTAGCGCTCTTGAGAAGCGAGAGCACAAACTCGGGATCTTGAAGACGCGACATGGCTATGGGAAAAAGAATAGGTTAGGGGCTGCGAAGGTGTGAGGTGTGTGTTTGGCTAGGGCGGTGAGATAAACAGTACGGGAGTCAATAGGATGTGGAATGCGGAAAAATAAACAAGCAGCAGACATAGAAAGACAGCGTGGTGGGAATAAAGCTGGGAAAGCACTGTTTTTTTTTAATTCACTCGCCGAAAGCACAGGGTTTTGTTGCGTTCCTGAAAGGAGCCCAGTCTATTTATACCGCCGTTTCCTCTAATCCACAGCCATGGGATAAGCCAGAAAGAATAAGGCCAGCCCCACATTTACCACAAAGAAAGGAGATAGGTGAGCAAATGGACCCATGCAAAGCTGTCCCTCATTCTGTCGGACGTGCAGCTTCTCGTACATGCAGTTTGGCGAGCATCCTGCCTGCACCCCATATGGAGATGCAGAAACGGCGGGGGAGGGAGGGGGTTTGCCCAAAAAGTACAAAGGGAAAAAATCGGTGATAGCGGCTTTCCCCAGGTCGTCCTATCGTACATCCCGTATTCCGTTTATCTCCACCTTGCCCAAATCGAGCAGTAATGAGAGCCAGCCAAGCGTCAAGCAAGGGCATACCCTGTCCTGCTGAAGGACCGACCCATAGGCTGCATGCATATCCTGCAGACCCCGCCTTTGTGCTTTCTTTGTCATTTCCGTCTGCTCTAGCGATTAGCCAGGCCTAAATGATGCGATCCCCGCGAAAACGAAACTGGGTGTGCGAGATAGGTGTCCGAAATATTTGCAGTAGCAATCATAGCGAAAGCGCCGCCTGCTCGTTTTCCGTTCTGCGTCCCCACTCAGCAGCAGTGGCCCCACTTACCGCTCAACTACCAGCGCGTGAAACTCGAGGAGACTACAGCAATGAGCGCCTTCTAGTCTCCTTTTTTCTTGCAGCAGCCGAAGCAAAGGAGGAAGGAGCCAAGGGAGGTGAATGCAAATCAATAGCCGACAGGCAATCTACAGGCGCTGCTAGTAAACGACGTGAGCGAGGAAATACAAAGGGAAAGGGACTACTGCAGCGAGGATTGCGACAAAAAAGACCTAGAATATGGAGGACGGAACGAGCGCTTAAACAGCAATCCTTCATAAACGAGACCGTTGGGTGGTGACAGTGCAATGCCCGATGCACGATAAAATGACCTAGGTGGTAGATCTCACGGGGATGCTATTTTTGGTGTGGTGGAAGGGATATTGGCGATCGCGTTTTATTGGCAGACCTGGGTCTAATGTCGTTGTGGATTGGCGCCAGGCTCGGTAGTGCTATAGAGCGTCGCCATTTATGTTTACGCGGTAATTGCCGCGATACCGCGAGGAGGGGAGGGAGGGCAGACATGCAAGCGGTTCCCACCGATGCTGGCGTGGAAAATGCACGAGGGTGGAACCCCCTCCCCAAACTTATGCACCTGGTCACACGGAAATATAGGTGTATGGAGGGGGCCGGTTTATAAAAGACCGGCCGGATCCGGCGCCTTCCAGCAGCAGCGCAATCCTTTGCAGGCGTTCGACGAAGAAGAAACGTTCGAGCCAGATCCTTCCTTCTACTCATACCTCGTATTTCTTTCGCACCAGAAGAAACCACCCTGTGTGCATATGGCAGGGTGTCAATACGGAAATCGGAAAATAGACCACACATTGCCCAAAATAGAACAAAATACGCACATTCACATTCGCGCCAACAACAAACGAACCAGTTTTGCTCTAGATCCTCGCGGCATTGAATTCGGTCCGCATCTTCCATGTCCACATTGCCAAGGCCGGCTTGCGGGCCAGCTCTGCACGCTCAACGACCATGTCCTGGGCGGCATCCAGCAGCGCGCGACGCATAGCCCACTCGGGCTCTGCCTCCCACCGCACCCGGAACTTGTCCATCAGTTTCGGCAGCAGCTCCAGCGGCACTGCGGTCAGCAGCTCCAGCAATACCAGCATCAGCTCCTGTCTCGATACTGTGGCCGTCCACGGTGTTCCGCACATGGGCGTCGATTTTCCGCTCCAGCGCCTCCACACGCTCCCACGCCAGCGCATAGCCCAGATTCACCGGCACCGCATCCGCATCCTGCGCCAATACTGGCGCGCTGTGCGCTGTCGCAGCCCGGACCGCCGCCGTATATGCAATCAGCAGAAGCTCGCCGGAAATGCCCCTGCCCGGATACAGCTCCAGCAGCAGATCCGTATACCATGGCACCACCTCCACCACCAGCGCCGCGCGGCGCCATTCCCCCTCGGCTTGGACTGCCGAGTCCTCGCTATTCACTGCCTCCAGCACCGCCAGCACCACGGCGTGCGCAGACTCGAACCAGTCAGGGCCAGCGTATTGCAATGCATTGGAGTCGGCGTAGCGCGTCACCAGCGGCAAAACCATGGTCATCAGCGTGTTGTTCGCCAGGCGGCCAACCAGGTGCTCCAGCAAGTCCATGTAGAACAGCACTGTGCAGCTGCGCACCGCGTGGATTCCCCAGACCGGCCGTGCGGCCATATACAGCAAACACGGCTGGCTGTGGAACAGTCGCCGCACCGCCGCATTGGCAACGCGCGGGGGGCGCGCCACAATGAACCCCGAGCGCCAGGGAGCTGGCCCGCTTGAACACGTCGACGCCTGAGCGGCCAAACGCCAGCGTCGCAAAATGCACACAGGCCATGGCATCCACCACAGCCACCCACAGATCCACCAGCAGCTGCTCGTTTGGGCCAGCGTCGTCGATAAAGTACCGCTGCAGCACCGCCTCCAGCACATGCAGCGCTGCCAGAACTGTAGCCGCCAGCAGCTGCAGCTCCGGCGGCTGTGCGTCCTCCGCAAAACACCGGCAGCTTTGCAGCCGCCTGCTCATAGGCCAGCAGCCGCGGCTGTGGCATTCGCATGCACCACATGCACAATCCGCGCAGCATCCGGCAGTGCCAATGCCGGGCTGTCGATCAGCACAGTCAGCGCCCGCACCACCCCGCCAATCTCTCGCACCACCACATGCTCCACGCGCTGCCGGCAGAACTCCTGCGACGCAATCCGCTCCATGCCCAGCACTCCGCTCTGCGGATCCAACACCGCCGCGACCATCGCCGCACACTGCCCGGCCAGCATCCGTACATGCCCAGGCGCCATCGCATCCACCACGCCAGTCGCCATAATCAGCGCTGCCGTTCCATTCTCCCCGCCAAAGCCCTCGTCGCGGCTGCCCAGCTCCCGGACGACATTCGCCAGCACCACTGCGCATTGCTCAACCAGCGGATCGACTACGTTTTCAGCCTGCATTGCCCGCAGCACGCCTGCCAACAGCGCCAGCGCCGGCAGCCCCGAGCTGCGTTCGGCCACTTTAAATAGAGCCGCTATGGCCTGCCGGTCGGTCTGATCGCTGATTCCGTGGGCCTCGCGCTGCCACGCACCCACAACTAGCCAATGGGCAGCCCGGTCTACGGCGTTGCGCTGCAGACGTGCGCGCTCCTCTGTCGATGCTATGCGGTTGCGATACGCGCGCACGCGCAACGTCGCTATGTACTGGCCCAGGAGCTCCAGCTGCCGCGATGCGGCCAAAAGAGGCATGGCGGTAAGCGGCCAGCGCACCAGCAGGTCCTGCGTCACCTCAGCAATGATGTTTGGCGCCCGGCTGGTTGCCAGAATGCGCGCAATTGAGCGGTACTCTGGGTCCATTGTCTCCGAGGAATTCTGAAGTACAGGGAAGAGTTAAGAAAATATATTGGAGATAAGCGTGGACAGAAGCAGACCCGCCCGAAAAAAGCCCAAGCTAGCAAGACCAAATTTGCGCACAGCACGTGATTGCTTAAAAGATCTTCTTCCACTTTGCCCACCCGCCAAACACCACGACAAAGGCAATGCAGCTCCCCATGATTGTCATCCAGGCACGCAGGTTCTCATGCTCGCCAGTATCCTCGTTCGGCTTGAACGGCACAGGCACGTTCATGCCAAATAGGCCGGTGACGAACTGGATTGGCAGCAGAATGGCGGTGATGACTAGCCACTGGCTCGAAAACACCGTCGTGCCCACACAGGCATCGCCGAGCTCCAGCGAGATCTGGCCCATGTAGTTTGAGTGAGCCCGCGCCAGCACCATATCACAATGAGCACAGGCCGACTGCATAGCACCCAGATGATCCAGGACGTCGCCCAGCAGATGGCGCTCATCTAGGTCGGGCGTCATGCGCATCAGCGCCCGCACCACCTCAGGCTTGCCGTGCATTAGCCGCCAGAGCGCCAGCAGCCGCCGCCGCACCAGCCCCGTGCGCTGCAGAACATCGGCCTTTTCCAGTGGCGACAGAACCATCACCAGCTCGTCCACCTGGTCCACCTCCAATGCCACGGTGCGCATGGCCATGGTCAGCGCGTCCGTCATCCCGTCCAGCAGCACATACACCACCGACTGCCCGCCGATCTCCGCCATGGCTGCCAGCCGGTCCACTGCCTGCTCCACATGCTCGGTCGTCGCGCGCCCATGGAACGTCAGCACAAACCGCCGTTTCACCACCATGGCTATCGGGCATGCCGCCATCTCGGCGTCCACTGCCCGATACACAACGAAGTGGTAGTCACTGACCTCCTCGATCTTGTCGCCTGTGTCCTCCAGAATGTCCTCCACTGTCAGCGGGTGGATTCCAAACACACGTGCCAGCCTGTCCATCTCTGGTTTGGTCGCATCCACCACGTCCAGCCAGAAGAACCCGCTCTGCTCGGCGATCACATCCAAGCAGGGCTTGTCTAACTCCGAAGCCTGGTACACACCCATCGCCTCGCTGAACACCATAAACCGTGTGTCCTCATTGACTGCGAACCCGCCTGCATCCGCCATCGTCTTGAGAGCCTCAGGCTCGCCCACAGCCCCTGTGGCTGCCAGCTCCCGCAGCGCTGCCATATCCCAGTCCCGCCGGTGCACTGCCGCGTCCTCCATGCCCATGCAGTCCGTGTTCTCGTGGGTTGCTGTCTCGCGGACTACGCACTCGGTGCTGCCAAGAAGCAGCTGCACCAGCCGCTCAATATCGTCGGCACTGCTGTTCTTGCTGTCCGACAACAGGTCCTGCAAATACTGGATCGCGCGAGCACGCTGCTCGGACTCGGTGCGCAGCATTTGCGTGTTTGCTGCCCGTAGCCTCTGGTTCTCTGTATGGATGTCGTGCAATAGCAGCGACGACCCAAACGGCGACGATTTGTCTGTCATGTTAAAAAAAAAAAAAAAAAAGTATATTACAAATGTAAAAGTGGAGGAAGAGCAAAAAAAAAAAGCTGAAAGATGGACGGCTGGAAGAATCTTCCATTGGGGCATCGATCCCAGCTCCTGACCCGGTTCGCAACCGGCTCCAGTTTTCTGCATCACTTGCGAGTCGCCCGTCTGAGCGACCACTTGGCCACCGCAACCACCATATTTTTGTAGTCCGAGTAGAACAAATCGCCGTCCTGGCCAACCACCGGCCGGATCACAAACCGCCACACCTGCGACGCTGTCAGCCCACCGCCACCGCCCTCCACTAGTCCCCGGTACTCCTCCTGCTCCCGCACCGGCACCTGCCCAACCTCCCCCCACGCGACCGCCTGCACCGGGCACGTCTCAGCAAACTGCATCATCAGCGCAATCAGCTGCTGCCGCCCCGCATCGTATTGCAGCAGCTCGTAATGCAGCCAGCCCAGGTTCCGCCAAACCGCTGCCGCCGCCACCCCGCCCTGCTGCAATGCCTCCCGCAATACATCCAGCCGCTCGCGGTCCAGCGACAGCGTCCCCAGCGCCCGCCGCATGCTACGCACAGTCACAGCCAATAATGCCGTGTCCACTTTGCCAGTCGTGGTCGATGTGTTTCCAAGCGTCACGGGCGCATATGGGTTGGAATATGGCGCCAGATGCGCTCCGGCGGGCTGGTACGCCAATGACACAATGCTGTTGGGCGATTGAGCTCCGCTGCTCACCGAATCCAGGGATGCATGTCGCCGCAGCGCCGCTTCTGCAAAGCCACTGTCGTCCGAGACCACAGAGACTGTCAGTGGCAGCGGAACCTCCAGGGCGCTGGCAGCCGTGTTGCTTCTTGCTAGCGGCACTGACGGCGGCAGAAGCTCAGCCAGCGGCGGTGGTGACGACACGCGCACTGGCACAGCAGAGGCTAACGACGCCCGCCGCGAATGTCGCCGCTGTGAAATGCTTTTGCCTCTCATTGGTGTCTCCTCAGCGGTACTGTAGTGCATGCCGCGCAGTACCGGGTCCTGTGGCATCGTCGGCTCAGGAGCCATCAGACCAGTGAGCCGCACGAAGCGCCCTGGCACTCCATCCACGTACCCCTGCACCTCGTCCGCCGCAAGTGCCCCGTCGCCATCACGTCGTGCTGTGGTGCCGCCGGTCGGCAGCGGCAGGTCGAGCAGGTACCGTGTGCTGGCCATGACCGCTGAACTGTGGTCAGCATATCGCACAGCCACCTGGTCAAACCACGTCTCCACCACTGGCGTATCAGGGCTATGGACCATCGCCGCATTATCCGACAATGACGCCGGGCTGTCGCGGTCCAGGTCGCTGTACGGAATCGCCGTGCCCGGGATATTGCCGTCGCTGAGCCGCGTGCGCATTGCGCGCTGCTGCTCTGTGAGCCGTCGGCTCAGCTCATCGGTGCCCGCCTCCGGCTGGTGCGGCAGCTCCATCGACAGGCGGCTCTGATCGGCTGTCCGCCGATGCGCATCCACCGCGTCTGCCTTCAGCCGGTCGAGCTTAGCCGACGAGTGGGCCGTGTATTTTCCGTCTTTTAGCGTATATGACACCGACCCCTTGGACCCTGTGACCGCCTTGGCCACACTGCCAATCGCCCTAGCGCGCTTGAGCTCCTGCGGCGGCTGCAGATTTGGATTGAACACGACCGGGCTGTGGATATTTGCGCCGGTTGCTGCTGCCACCTGCATGCGCAGCCGCCGCCGCAGCCGCACCCACCGCCGCCGCCGCACAAACGACTTGGCCGCCGAGTGCCGCCCGCGCCAACGCGACTTGGTCGCAAACCGCGTCGCGTACTGCCACCCATCCTCGTCCACATCTGCCGTCATATCAATCAGCCAGCGCGGCGACACCCACTCCCACGATGGGTCTGGCAGCTGGTACGAATGCACGTTCGCCAGCGTCAGCTTCATCGTCACGTCGCTCCACGGCGGTGGATCCATCGGATGCAGCCTATGGTGAGAAGGAAAAACGTGCGATTATGCAAACCACCTCTCATATGACCCGTGTGCACATACGTCTCTCACACATGCCGCTCCCTCGCCCACCCAATGCTGCGGCTGCGCTGGCCATGGGACACGGCCATATGCTGAAAATTCTGCCTACTAATGCATGCGATTACCCCCTCCCAAAGCAAAACGCGCGTTTCATGTGTCTTCACATTGGCTTCGCACTGGTACTTACAGCTTCGGGCTAAAATTCGCCTTGCCGAGAAAATTGAACCTACACTGCGCAGCCCCAGTATTTAGCCTGCCATGGTTTCTCCATGCCCACGAGATAACTCATCCATGGATAACCTACCCGCGCTGGCACTCAAACACCACATCGCACGCATACTCGAACCGCGCATCATCCACCAATCGCTTCGCCTCGCTCAGCCTAGCGCAGATCGCCCGCGAATGCAGCTTCGCCATCCGCTCCCGGTCCTCCCCACTGCTCGTCTGCCGCCGCATCACCCGCACACACGGCGCCTCGCCGTCGTCATCCGAGCCACCCTCCCCCGTAGCCCACCCTTGCCCGCCATACGCGTCCTCGCTACTGCCCGAGTCCTGCCGCTGTGCTCGCGCAGCCCCTAATGCTGTGTATGGCCGGTACGCAAACGCACAGGCCGACGGAGGCACCGGTGGGAGAATATCCTACATGCATTGGAGCCCTGCTGCGTAGTTGAGAAACCAAAGTGCTCGAACCTCCTAACCCGACTGGACAACACTGCTGGGGGTTCTGGGGCTGCCACTGCTTGACAAAAATAAACGCACCTCAGTTATTTCTTTTCGCCGTGTCATTTCCAAATAGTGTGAAGGCCCAAAAACAGTCTAGGAAAGGAAGGGAAATGCGAGCAGCAGAGGAGAAATAGTGGCAGAGCAGCGTGCAATGCATGGAAAGCTCCAAATATTTTTGTGTGTGACGGAGAGGAGGCACTCTGATTGTTGGCGACACACAACCAGCGCCCAGAGTCACGCGCATCAAGCGCTCTCCCCGCCGCCAGCACTGATCAGCCTTTTGCTCAATGCAGATGAGTGCCCACAAGCATGGATCCAGCCCTAACCATATCCCCGGTATTCTCCATTCATACCCGCTCTGACGGAAGAAAGAAAAGACTACACTTGCTGCCAACCGCCACCGACACTACAGCATCTTGGACATGTATGGCCCGTCCAGCTCAAAGCCTAGCTTGCGGTAGTAGTGGCGCGTGCCCACGCCGCTGATGACCGCTAGCTTCACCGACCCATGCTCCTCGCGCGCAATGCGCTCGGCCTCCTCCATCAGCAGCGTGCCGAATCCCTGGTGCTGGAACTTCGTCGGGTCGCGTGAATGAACCGGCACCACCGAGCCATACACGTGCAGCTCGCGCACAATCGAGCACTGCCCCGTCAGCAGCTCCGGCCGGAACGTCTCAGCCGAGCACTTGCGCAGCCGCAGCAGCCCCACAAGAATGTCCTGGTCGGGGTCCTCGTACGCCAGGAACGTCTCCCAGCCGCCGTTCGCCACATAGTCGCGCCTGACCAGCTCGACCTGGTCCGGCTTGACCTTGGTGTGGATATCCACAATGCCCACCTCGCGCGTGCGCACGTCGCGGCAGGCCGTGCCCAGATCACGCATGCGCTGCAGCGCCAGCTCGCGCAGATTGCCATGCTCCACGCCCGACGTCACCAGGGGCATCGGGATGTCGCGCTGCACCCGATACACGCGCGTCCATGGCGGAACCAGCGCCAGAATCCGTGCTACCAGGTCAACCAGCGCGTTCGGCGTGTAGTTGCGGTAGCGCCCGGTGCGCCACAGCTCATACAGACCCGTGCCGCGGATCACCAGCGTCGGGTAGAGCTTCAGCCCGTCCGAGCGGAACTGCGGGTTCTCAAAATACTCCTTGAACTGCTCCAGGTCGCGCTCCATGCCTACGTTCGGTAGATCCGGCATCATATGCGCCACCACCTTGTACCCGGCGTCCTTGGCCAGCTGGAACGACTCGCACACGGCTCGAACCGTGTGCCCACGGTTTGTGTCGCGCGCCACGTCCTCATACACCGACTGCACTCCTAGCTCGAGACGCGTGCACCCATACCGCAGCATGTGGCTCAGGTGCGGCTTCAGCGCTGCATCTGGCCGCGTCTCGATCGTGATGCCAATGCACTTCGTCTGGCTCTGCTCCGACATCCGCACTGCCTCGTCCACGTCGTTGCTGCGATGGCCCGACAGTGCATCATGCAGGTTCATGATGAACCAGTTGCGGTACTCCTCCGGCAGCGACATGAACGTACCTCCCATGATGATGTACTCCACTTTGTCCACGCTGTGTCCCAGCGACCGCAGCTGGTCGATCCGCCCGCGCGCCTGCTCAAACGGCTCGTACCGCGCCCGGATTGCCCGCATGCTAGTCGGCTCGTAGCCTGTATACGACTGCGTTGAGTACTCAAAGTCTGAGTCCGGCCCGCCTGGGCAGTACACGCAAATCTGCCCCGACATCGAGATGTGCGGGCACCGGTGCGGCTTACACATCACTGCCACCACCGCAATGCCTGACGCCGTGCGGATCGGCTTCGCCTTGAGCTTCGGCAGCAGGTATTTCTTGTACTGCTCTGGAATCGCCGCGATGATGTCCACCAGCCGCGGCTGTGCCGACAACTTGTTCTCGCGAGAGTGCCTTGACTTGACTACATTCAGGTTCACCGACACCCCGGCATTGTGCGCTTCAATCAGCTCTGCCACAATACCCGCACACGTCTTCACCATTTTCTCTGCATGCGACGCCTGCGCTTTCTTGGACGTGCTCATTTTTTGTACAAGTTTGTTTAGTGTGGGAATGGAAGTGCAGAGGAGAAGCTATAAAAAAATTTGGCATCAATTTTTTCTGTTTGCTCTGATGCATTTTTTTGGCTCGATGGACGGGCTTTGTGATTGGCTGGCTCGGTTTTGCTCATCGCACCCATCTTGCGACGAGGTAGGCACGCCCGCACATGGTATTCAGAAGCACGCATTTCTCCTTTTGCAAGTTTACCTACCCTCCGCTCTCCCTTTTATACTCTAAGCATAGACTCTTGTGACCGATGCAAGGCAACTTTTCTCCACAGGCGAAGCTGCACCGCGGCCACCGGAACTACCCTTCTCACAACGCCCAGTCCACCCGCAACCCCCCGCCACGAACCAATCAGAATTACGCCAATCCAACACAACAACACCCCCAGCACCAGCGTACCACCGGCGGCATGTTTGGCAAACTACGCATGTTCGTCGAGAACGTCGCCGATGCCTTTGACAACCCCTCGCCCACCCGCCGCGACATGCTGGTCGACCACTGGTCGCGCATTCAAGAGTACTATACTCCGCAGAACCAAGACGACCTGCGCAAGCTGGAGGTCACCGATACCACAATCCCCTACCACCTGGAATCTGCCCTGCGTCTGCTGGCCCTGGAGATGCTCGAGACCGCCGACCACGAAGCCGACGGCATCGCAAAGGAACATCTGGCCCAGCCGCTTGAGTTCGGCCCCTGCATCGAGTACCTCTTGCAGTACCATGTGCTGAACTCGCTGGTGGAGTTTGCCGACGCCGATTTGCCCAGAGGCATGCGCAAAAACGTCCTTCACTTCTTTGGCATCTTTATCGAATGCATTCCCCTGGGCCTGCTGCCAGAGAGCGCCATCCGGCTGCCGCTGGTCGAGATCATGCGCCAATGCCTGAATGTCGTACAGACCAGCCCCACCACGCTCATCAACCCCATGCGCCGCCAGGAGCCCATGGCCGGGTCCTCAACCACAACCGTCGGCAGCGTCTACTCGTCCATCGGCCGCAAGCAAGGCAAGCAGAGCTCAGCCACCACTAATCGGCTCGGCCAAGGATACCACTGCATCCCGAATGACAAGACCGCTGTCATTCTCTGCCACGACCTGCTCAAGCTCGTGGTCTCGCTGTTCACACGCCTGCGCGAACACTCCAACATGGTCTATCTTTTTTTTGACTGGGGCAGCGAATGGCAGACCACAGCAAAATCCGCCGATCTGGCTGTCGCCTCGCTGCGCACTGCCACCTCCGACTACAAGCAGCAGTCGGCCCGTGGCCACGAAATGCTGATCATGCACGTCATCGTCGAGTACCTGCTGGCACCCGGCATGACCGGCCAGCTAGCACGCGAAGCACTGGTCCTGGTCGTCCAGGTCCTGCTGGCCCCTAAGGACAAAGACAAGTATGTTGATTTCCTGCTCGACCGTGCACGCATCGCCGAGCTGCTGGTCGAGCACCTCGGATATCTGCACTCGCAAATGCCCGTGTACCGCCCAATCCCACGCACCCCCAACTCGCAGCTCTTCAGGAATGACTATACCGGCGGACGCACCATGCCGCCGCTGACACGGAGAATGCATCCCGAGAGCGCCAGCCTGGCTGGCCGCTTCAATTTCAAGGCGAACCTGCGTGACTTGCTCGCCAATGAGGGCATCATTCGGTCTGTGGCGAAGCGCGAGCAGCGCGAGTCGGATATTCTGGTGTCGGCGCGCAAGATCCTCGAACATGTCGATGCCTTTTTCCTGTGCTGGGAGCTGCTCGACGAGCTCTGTGTTGTTGGCCAGTGCGATTCACGGATCGTTGCTGCTGTCCAGAGCCAGCTATCCAACGGATTCCTGCGCACCCACATAGAGCCCGCCCTACTGGCTACCATGGCATCCATGAGCCAAGCCAACACAACCATATCGTATTTGACTGACCTGATCACCATTACACACAGCTCTCACGTCCTCGATGCATTATTCATGGTCCTGCTCGGGTCAGACCTGGCGCCCGAGCGCGCACCGCAGGACCGGCCTAAGAATATGCACTTACTGTCAAAGGAGGACCAGGAGCTGCTGGATTCAATCGAGGATGAGGCGCTACGTGCTGAAGCAGCAGCCCTGTTATTGCCGCCTGGCTTTGACCTGTCTACTCTAGGCACCACGAAGAGCGACGACAAATCATCAGGCTCCGAGCCCAACCCACTGCGCGCAACTCTGATCTCGTGGATGACTTACACCGACAACACCCACCTGTCCCTCAACACCCTGCGCCTGTTCGACACCATCCTGTCAACGATGAACCAATTCGCCTACACTAGCCTCGCCCTGCGCAACTTTTTGGACGAACCTGCTGGCAATAGCCACGCTGGCCCGAAAATGTCGCCGCTGGTCGGAGCCGCCTTGCCAGCTGCTTCGGCGGCCGACAGTGGTGATGACGATGACGAGAAGCCCCTGGCCAATTTGGTCCAGCCACAGGGCGATGCGCTTGGAGAGTTTTATTCTGGCCCGGCAATCGGCCTCGGCATGTCAGTGGCTGTGGACCAGGAGCTTGTGCGCGCCGTGGTCGAGCGCTTCCTGGACGCCAGCCCCAGCAACATCTCCAATGCAATGCCCGAGGTGGTCGTTTCGGCTGCCATTCGCATCGACGAGCGCCCGAGCCCCACTAACTCGCAGTCGCCGCGGTCACCGCAGGACAGCCAGTCGCTGCCTGTGCTGGATCAGCAGCTTGAGGCGCCACGCAATTTCCAAAACATGCGCAGCATTATTATGCGCGAAGCACAGGGATGCGACGAGTACGTCCAGGACTGCCTGCAGCGGCTGCGCGTCAATCAGGAGTATATCCGGAGGTGCTGGCAGAGCAAAGCCAAGTTTGTTCGCAAGCATGCGCCTGCCCATCACACTCAGCCTACATCGGACAGCACAACTGGCAATACCGAGGATGTGAGCCGCCAGATTGACGACTCGCTTGCAGCGTTCTATCCGGGAGGTTTCTTGGCGTCGCTAGTCAAGCAGTTCTCGCTGGTTGTCAAGCGCCATATGGCGTATAGCCTGATGCTGACATCGATGATCAACAAGCTTGCTTGCATTGCCGACCCAGCTCTGTGCGCATATTTGTTCTTGGCAAACAGTGCCACGCTACCAAAAACGCAGGTAACTGGCGATGCCTCAGAGGAGACGGAGAGCAAGCCGACTAAGCCGATGCTGCTGTATGATGGTTTTGTTAGCGCTGCAGCCGACGCTTACGTGAAATCAGAACGGGTACCCAAATTCTCTGCTCGCCTGGCCCGCCAGCACCGCGAGGGTGTCGAGACCGCCGT